TCAGTTGTTTGTTTTGCCTGCGGACCTGACAGTCTTGGATCTCCTTCAGTGTGAGGTGTGTCCCCACAGCCAAGATGGTCTTGCAGTCTGAAGAGAAGGCAACACCTGTGTAGCTGCAGGACTTGAGGACATTCTCTGACTCACGCTTGCCGGTCTGTGTGTTCCACTCATACACTGCACCATCCATCCCACATGACACCAGCCGGCTGTCATCCAGGCTCCATTCAATGCCACAGACCTTCCAAAAGTAAAACAAAGTCTAGTGTGGTAATGATAAATATGAGTGTTGGTTTGCTGTAGAATGTGTTCCTATGACTGACTCACCTTCCTGTTGTGGGCCTTTAGATTGAGGACATTCTCAAAAGAGGTGAAAGAGTATATGTGAATGACATTTCCATTGACAGCTGCAAACATGTGGCCACCATGGCTGAAAGCACACTATGATGAGGAGGGAGAAGGTGAAAGAGACTGTCAGAGCTTCAGAATGGATAATACAGCTGTACTTCACACAGTTCAGATTTACTGAGTCAACACACAATTGGCACCTCTCTGCAGCCGCGCACAGTGAACTCCTTGAAGGTGCGAATGTCGTCGATAAGTAGGCTCATCAACCGGAGTTTGTCTGCAAAGCCCACCAGGATGAAGAGGCCAGTGGGATGCAGGGCCAAACTATACGCCTCCTCCTGGAACTCTTTATACAGCTCCAGCACTCTAAAGACAATTCAGAGAAAGCAGCAATCGAATCAAAAAACACAGCAGCATGTCTTTAGCATGCCAAACTGAGGGGCTACACAATGATTCCCTCATTTCCTCCCTCAGCTCGAAAAATGTGCAGTATATGATACAATGACTGTGTCAGATACATTGCTCAGCACAGAGGAAATAACAAATGAGAGTAATTTTTCTCTTACTTTGTCTCGTAGTTCCAGATATGGACAGAGTGGTCCAGAGAGCTAGTAGCTATGAGGGGCTTCCGGATGCAGATGGATAAACCAGTGATGGACTTGGAGTGAAAGGACTGGAACAGGAACTCAAAATGATGTTTTTCTTCCTAAAAGAATAGAGCTACATAGTTTATATCTCAGGGTCAATGCAAAAATCTAAAGGCAGGGGAAGTTGTGGCGGCAGACAAGAAGAGGAATGTGCCATATAAGAAATGGAAGGGCATAAAGGCATATGCTGGCATGTACAAAAGAGAAGAAAGGAAACAAAAGAGTAATTCCTGAAACAAAAAAGCAGAGCCCATTAAAGAACAAGTGCAGGAGGAGTTTTTAAAAAAATCTAAATGACTCTTGTGGTTTTGGTAAGTGGTAAGAGTGGCGCCAGTGATCATATACTGTAAGGATGCCAGTAATAAAATGGCACCACCTTAAAAACCACAAATACAAAAAGCTGCATTGGCATTGGAATGCGCTGCTGTTAGAGGATAACAGGTAACATTAGATTGCACTGTGGCAAACAGTGTTGACATACAAACCTGCATTTAGTTTTGTCCTTTTGCAGTAGCACTCTCAGAGTGCCAGTGAGGAGTCTGTGGTTTTTTTTAATGCAGTGCTACTGTTGGTTTGAGCACAGTCAGTGTTTGTGCTATACTACCTTGTTCATGTCCACAGCAGACAGGCTGATGCTGTATAGCTGTGCTTGGTCTGTGCTGATAGCCAGAGTCTCCTCTGCTGGACTGATGCACATGGTATCAATCTCCTGGCACTCAGCCTGGGTCACCTCATTTCTGTACGGGTCTGGAGGAATCTGACAGAAAAGTATACACGAATGATCACTTTGAAATATGCACAAAAAAGCCTACAGTGTCACTGCTGTCTGTGAGCATTTACCTGTATGTCCCTGCTCTTTCTATAACTGTCCTCTTCTGTCTTTTCAAATAGACAGACAGTACCAGGACCCACCGAGCACACAAAGCCCTTGGAGTACGACAGGATGGCTGTGATGCTGGAGACAGTGGGGGCTTCATCCACATCAGTGTCTTTGTTCTTTTTTATCTCCATTTGTCTGTACAGTTTTAAGAAGATTTATAGGAGCAAAAAAAACAGAAAACAAACACGTTTTGATAACTGGCATGAGACAAAGTTGGCTGTAATGATTTCATAACCACAAAAATCACACTCGGAATGCAATTCATTTCTTCAGGCTAGATGTTTATTTTTATTTTTCAAAAGCCCTCAATAAGTTCCATTAACAGCTCAGCCCTTTTTTTTTACTCAAGCAGGAAGAAAAAAATGCATTTCTTGCTGACCATTTTGGTGGATTCAAAAAGTCACACACAGTTCATGGTGATGTCACCTAACACAATAGTGTGGCTCACGGATGCATTTTATTTTGTAAATAACAATAACAAATAAGATATCTCTGCCTTTGGATACACAGCAAAACTCATGTTAGGGGAGGTAGAAAAGGTCATTGTTTGTTTAAACAAATATTGACACACTATTAAAGTAGATCAGCTTCTGACCTGTCAGACTGCTCCTGCACAGTCTTCGAAGTTATGTTGATCTCTCTTCGCAGATTTCCAGACTCAAACACCAGCAGCCTGCCTGTGCTCGTTCCAGCGATCACCTGCTCTGCTGCTGTCCAGGTGTGACACAAGAAGTTGATGGTCTCCACCTTTGGGAAGCTGCTCTGTTTCAGGGCTCCCTCTGAGTAGCGGAACAGCTTGAACACACCAGTTCCACTCACACACACCTGCATGTTGTTGTAAGGGTTGAAGCTTACCTGATGGGACACCAATGAAATAATAACATGCTCAGGGCATGGATGCCTGCAGGGACAAGAGCTATTGCTGCATTATTACAGCATGAAGCACTCACCTGAGTAATGGGATTATTTGAGTTAGTGGTCTTAACAGATACCAGGACTTTTTGTTTTTCCCAAAGCCAGAACATCAGCATCCACTCTGGGCTGCCTGTTTGACCTATCAGGTATTTGGAATCAGGGGAGAAAGCCATGCATACAAACTCCTGAACAAGCGTATCGCCAGCAGTCAGAACCTTTCTCTTCCTGCCCTGCTCATGCTGCAGGTCGTACACTGTTACGGTGGCCTTCTCACCATACTCTGACACTGCCAGGTACCGCCGATTGGCACTGATAGCCAGAGCACGCATGCCCCGACTTTTCTCTGAGCCTGTAAAGGCAGCACAAGTCCAATAAACCCAATCTCTGATAGCAATATTGCATGATATAAACAGAAATTCACTAATGAAAACATCAGCAAGGGACTCTGATAGTTTCAAAACCAGAGCACTATTACAAAGACTAATAACAATCAGCCAACCTACCCGGAATGAACCTCTGGCATTTCTGGACGGTGTTGTAACACACACAGTTGTTTCCACTGGGGAATACGACAGTTTGTTCATCGAAGAAACATAAATTATTTGTCACACCTGTTCTTAGGCCGAAGATAAAATGGGACTGAGCAACTACTGTAGCCATTTCTGATTGGAGTTTAGTTGTTAAAGGCGCGAAAAGACTTTAATATTATTTAAACCTACACAGCGCTCGACGCACAACGACTATCTCACCAACATACAATAGCTACATTAATTTAGTCTACAGTTAGAAAGGAGCACACCACTAAGAAGCATACTGAGACAGGTATGCTGTTGTGATTAGTCACGTCGCTAGGCAACCCTGGAAATCCCGCGAGAACTCTGAACTGCACTACCGTTCTTGGTGCCCATTGTCTGTTAACAAAATTAACTTAAATTTGCATTTCCCTGTCATAAAGTGAAATACAAATGATTAGACAAACTATGCTTGCCTTGTAATGTTGCTTTCTTAATAATGATTTTATGCAGATTATATTTTTGACATTAGTGCTCAATGTTCCATTCAAACAAAAACAAACTGGTATCCAAGAGCAACCAGATCAAGAGACAGAAGCCAGCCAATTGGAGTGCACATTTAAGGAATCAAATCTAATTTTATTTGTATAGCCCAAATCACAACAAAAGTCATCTCAGGACACTTTACAAAGTAAGGTCTAGACCTTACTGTTATCACTATTATTACAGAGGGAAAACCCAACAAATCCCCCTTGAGCAAGCACTTGGCAACAGTAGGGAGGAAAAACTCCCTTTAACAGAAGAAACCTCCGACAGACCCCGGCTCTTGGTGGGCAGCCTTCTGCCTCGACCGGTTGGGGTGAGTAGATAGAGGAGAGACAAAAGAAGAAAAGCAACAGGACACAACAAACAACCGAACACTGGTCAAGTTGATGTGGCCGGTGACTGCTCATCAGAAACATAGAGCTCCAGGGCTACCTGCAGAAAAGTACAGGGAGAGACAGAGAGAGGACACACTATGGGAGAGAGGAGACACAAAGTTAGTAATGTGTAATGGTGGCATATAGAAGCATAGGGAAAGAGAGGAGAGGAGAGGAGAGGGGAGGGCAGGGGAGAAAAACTCAGAGCATCATGGGGCCCCCCAGCAGCCTAGGCCTATAGCAGCATAACTAAGGGAAGGAGAAGGGTCACCTGATCCACCCTAGCTATAAGCTTTATCAAAAAGGAACGTCTTGAGTCTAATCTTAAAGGTAGAGAGGGTGTCCGCCTCCCGAACTGAGACTGGAAGTTGGTTCCATAGGAGAGGAGCTTGATAGCTAAAGGCTCTGCCTCCCATTCTACTTCTGTGGATTCTAGGAACCACAAGTAAACCTGCACTCTGAGAGCAAAGTGCTCTGTTAGGATGATAAGGCTCTACGAGGTCTTTAAGATATGATGGAGCCTTGTCATATGTATGAGATGATTGTCCTTCCAGCAGGTTTTCCATTTCTGCAGAAGACTTCTGAAGTTATATTAAAATGACTAAAGTAACCATTGGGTTCTTGGTCACCTCCCTGACCAAGGCCCTTGTTATGTCCTGGGAACACTCAAAGCTTTAGACACGGTTTTATACCCTTGCTCTGATCAGTTTTATCACAGAGGTCTTGAGAGAGTTTTTCAGTCCTGACATGCAGTATGAATTGTAGGGCCTTATACACAGGTGTGTGCCTTAATTTCAGGTTGCCAGAGGTGGACTCCAGTCATGTTCTAGCCACATCTCAAAGAGAAGTCAAAGAGACAGCATGCACAGGACCAAAGTTTAGAATGCTCTAGCTGAGGGTCTCAATACATTTATTAATGAAAGGGTTTAGTTTTTAATTTTTAATAAATTATCAAAAATGTCTACAAAAGTATTACTTGACATTATGGGTTACTGGGTATAGACTGATGGGTAAAAATGGGCAATGTTTTGTCCATTTAAAGTTAAATTTGCATGTAAAAGGGTTGGAATATTTTCTGAAGCCGCTGTATTATGTCTAAAGGACATAACAAAGAAAGAGATTTATTGCCATGCGCTCTTACATGTTATCATACAGTATATATACAGTACATATAAGTAAAATATAGTGCAGCGGTGGGAGTAAGACAGCTCCTTTTCATAGATGCATAAATTACAATGATCCATACTGTGTAATTTAAAGGCTTTAATGGCATGACTTAATGATATCAGCAAGTTTCAAGGCATTCAATTCAAGACAGCAATGACAAGCCAACAGATCCAACTCATATGAACAAGTTTTGTCCTTTAGAATGAGAATTTAGTTGAAGGACAAGTAATCTTTTTGCTTGTATGAACAAATCTTAGATGTGCTGCATGGTTGTCTCTGTCTCACTGGGTGTACTGTGCAGATGCATCTCCAGAATTAAGGCATGGATAAACACACTGACAGTGCTGGTCCCAACATTACTCAATACACCATTAAGCAATACCAAGGAATCAAGAGTCGCAAAGTATACCAACTGTGTTCTCAAAATGTGGTCAAGATGCTATCATTTTCATAGGCATGCATCTTTACAGTTAGCTTATTTCAACGTTTTCACATTCAGAACTCTGTTGTGGGAAAAAAATCCATAGATTATGTAAGATCTGTGTGCAATAAAAGCTGGTAAAACATGTATAAGTAAGAATTTCCTGTAAATGTAATAAAGCCCTTCACTACAAAATTGAACATTCTAGACTAATATCCCTTTATAACTAATACAGTTTGAGGAGTATACAAAGTTATATATAATACACTATGCACATGAATCAGCCTGTTGTTCTGGAGTTCTGGAAAGTCTGTTGGAACAGCAGTGGCCCAGCAGGAGGCAGTCTTGTTTAACAGGAGATGATGAGGGCATTCAGAGACTGCTGACTCTGTGTTCGCTCCAAAGGTCCCCCAGTGGACAGAATCTCACAGGCAGCCAGTTCATGATAGAGAGCGTTGAGCACCTCTAGAATGTGGGCTTTCCCTGTGCAAAAACAGAACAGATGTGACCGCTGTGGGAATCTTGTTACAGACGACCAGACGAGAACTTAATTTAATTCCCTGCACTCAGTACCTGTAAATTTTTCTGATCACATTTCACAGGACTTGAAATGATTTTATTGTACTTACCATGTTTGGGGTCACTGCAAGACTCCAAAGTGCTCAGCAAGATTTTCCCCAGAGACCTCCGTGAGATGTTCTGAAAAGAGAGAGAGCTATTCTTAGATATCAGGCACTTTTGACAGGTAGTCTGACTTGTAACCACAAAATCTCCCACACATGCCCAACAAGTGAAATGCATTTGTTCTTAAATGTATAATCAGTCTATAATCAATCTCACACTTTTAGGGTCAGGTGGCAAACAAATGTTCACAAACCAAATTTAAAACAATCCCAGTACTGGTGTGTTATTTCAGTGACAGAGAGACATGTGTTTGCTGATTCAACAGGTCAACATGGACTTCTAATTCCCAAGTATCTCTATGTTAATGACCATATGGTGGTTTGTCGTTGAACAATGCTAGTGAATGCTTTCAATTTGTTTTCCTTTTTGATGTCTAGCCAAAAAAAAAAGGTTTTAATGCAGTGGGGTAGAGTTTATTCAACTCAGCAGCCAAGATTTCCATTATTTTCAGTAAAACGTTTGAGTTCATACAATGGTCTAACTCATGTTTACAGGATTTTATAGTCTGCTAAAAATTAAAACAATATGTTTTGTCTTTAAAATGGTTAAAAAATGTAGACAGCAACAACAAAAAAGCATTGAATATCAAAGTCTTACTGTAGCTACTAGGAGCTTCAGTTACTGTCAAAATTGACATCTTAAGTTCAGCAGTGCAGTTCCACTGAAACTGACTAACCAGGTCTCTGAGCTGCTGGAGGAGCTGCAGAATGTCCACAAGTTTCTCCTCCACCAGGGACAGACGAACCCTCTCTGTCTCCAGCATCTGCAGCTCCATCTGGAGCAGCTCAGTCTCCTCAGCCTTCTGCTGCAGCTCCTGGACCAGAGAGTCCTTAATCTGGACACATAACATAAGGTGTCATATGGTGAGGCACCTGGCCCTTTAAAACATCACAATAAATATAAATAATATATATCTTGTCATGTTTTTTTTTAAATGTATTTACAAAGACGTCTTGAAAACAGAATAGGATGCCCCAGCAGTATAGAGATGATAACATGTGATCGAACAGGTTTACACTGTATGTAATGGGAGACCTGACAGACTGTTTATACCACCACAATAGAGGTGTGTTTTTGGTGTAGTCCATCTGTATGTTTGATAGTTAGCAGGATACTTCATAATGTGATAGAAGTCTTCAGAGAGATTCAGTGGAAATTAAGACCAAGGGCCAAGAAATAGCTCTACTGGAGATTCAGACAGAGACTGACCACTGTCAGAATCACCTTAACTTTCAGCTGTTCCAGTAAAGTCAAGGTGAGAACAACCTTGTGAGCACAGGGTTTGCCATTTGCCACTGGAGCTGATAATTTTGCAGATCTTGGATAAGTGGTGAAATGCCAATTCTGCTGCTGTGGTCCAGTGGACAGTTTCATTTTGATCTGACCATGCGATACCTGAATGAATCTAATCTAATCTTCTGACACATTTGTCAGTGAAACAGTTCTTTTTCTTGGATCTTTTGTTTTTGTTTGTTTTGTTGTCAGTCTTGTTGACCATTAGCCTCTTTCATCTATTTTTAGCCTCTTTCAGCTTATGGTTTCGGTTTTATGGTTAATTTTCATTAACCTTGTTTTGAGCAGCAGCAAGTAGCTGTTCAGACAATAGGAAGCTTTGATAAGCTCACTGTAGACTATATTGCCAGCACCAAAAAGTGGAGGTTTTATATTTCCCAGAGCCTAGAAAACATAGTTTTATTTTCACAGTATCAGTCCCATGTACTGTAAAGTCTATGGACCAAGCGGGAGTGCTCGGGCAGGGCCAACTTTCAGTGGGATAAATGGGTGCAATCCTGTAATCTGGTATTCAGTTCTTATTAATCCATCCATGGTTCAGCCATGGTGGCCATTACTGCATAGTGAATGGCTATACAGTTTGGTGAAGAAGGATCTGCTTTTTGAGTTCTCAAAGAATGTGAACAGTGATGAGAGTTCTGCTCAAAGAGCTGACCAATCTTAGTTAAATCAACAACAGAAAAGAGGGGCGCTGGGGTGCTGGCGGCAAGCAAATAGTCTCGGCATGAATGCAATCAGAGTAACAGTGATAAGTGACAGGTTATAATGCTTGTGCTGTACACATGTCCATTGTAAAACATGTTGCAATCGATACTTCCTAATCTTCCTAAAACACAAGCTTGAAAAAGCAGCAGAATAAGTGACTCTTTTAACAGTTTTCCCTGTAGGCCTGCTAAATATCTTCATACAAGAGACAAATATCCATGTCAGATGTTGGGGTTATAGAGTGAATTTTACAGGTTTGACTTCCAAAAATGCTGGAACTCCCTGCAGCGCACTGTTACGTTAAAGTGTATTGAAGGACAAAGGTCTCACCCCACACATCCCGCACATAAACAAAGCCTCACAGTCAGGACTTTGTTTAGTTTTAAGTTTTCCTCCCTGAGTGCTCAGACATTCTGGGAACACATTACGCCATGCTTCCCCTTCTGCCTGCCTTCCTGTGTTGTGACAGTACTACTTGACTGTAACAAGAGAGCTTTAATTTATAATAAGTGTCATGAGGGACAAAGGAGAACATTTCTGTGGTCAGTTTCAGTGAGAAAGAGCACCCACACACACACGCAGAGGAAGGCTCTGTAGCCGCCGCTGGTGGTTTGGTTGGGTGAAAGCTGTAGGATCATGCCACTTGCTGTGGTTTTGCCTTTGAAGGCCTCCACATTCATAACAACCTTCACCAGTCCTCTCTAATCTAGTTTAACACCATGCACATAGCCGCAAAATGACGTATAATGCGACACATGGCAGAACACTGTCTTGAGAGAGTAATTCAGTGTAAACAGATCCAGCAGGGCAGGTCAGAGGATACTGAGGTGGCCCACCCTGGTGTGATGGAAGACAGTGGTGGTCTGTACCTGGTCCATGTCTATCTCGGCCTGGGTCTCTTTTAGCTCCAGCTGCTTATGCAGCCTGGTCACCCTCTCCAGAAGCTCCAACACGGCGCTGCAGCTTTCCTCGCTCCTCGAACTACCGAAATTAGATATCAGCTTCTTGAATGCCTTGTCGTCACATCTGGGTAAGAAAACATACCAGAGGAGAGCGAGTCTATCAGGCTCAGAGCTACAAATCAGACTTTGACAAATGCTGAGGGAATGTTGAGCCTCACTACTTTGTCTTGGGACCAGTAATGTCTGAGCAACAATATGCTGGCAGAGTTTTATTGTCTATTTAGTTCTTATTCAAATTACATTATACATAGCAACATTTTGACATGTGCAAAATCAGACTGTGAACGTGGATGTCAGTCTATATGTTCTAGTCCCGTGATAGACAATAGACAGGCTGCAACTTCCTCATGACCCTATTTAGCCTATACAGTTACTGTACAGCAAATGGTTTAAAGGCTGAATATTTTATACCACTGTTACTTCTCTAACAATGTATTTTTTAAGTATTATGTATATTCTGTATTTTTATTGCTATTTTCCATGACTGATGGCAAATTCCACAATCTCTGCACAAAAATTCAATATACCAAATAATAAAATATAATGGTTAAGACTTAATGTTTCTATTATTATAAATATGTGTGAAAGTGCAACAGGTTTTTTAGCCTCTTTTTAGCATGTTGCTTTGGTCTTATGGCACATTTACTGTGGTCTGCTTTCACCAGCCTCAGTTTTGAAGTAACTGGCCTCTTGTTTACTGTGTGAAAAAAAGGTCTGATAAACATTAAACAGCCAACAAACAAGGTAACTAAGCTAGCTGGTAAAGTCAAAGACCCAGGAGCTAGATGTTTAGGAACTGATGAAGACCCAACTCATTTAAAAGGAGAAGAAATAGTGGACATACATTTGCCAGGTGGCCAAAGACAGGACTGAGTGTAACTTGAGTACAAATCACAAGAGTGTCACTAGCTGTCTGAAAGCTAGTTCCTTGCTTCAAGATGTAGTGGTGATATACTGCAGATGTGCTTTACCTTTCCCCACAGCAGGACAGCCTGGTCAAGATCCTCTTCACCTCGTCTACCTGCCTCTGCTGGTCGCCAGTCCACTTATCCTCCTCCTCGTCAGAGGCAGCCTGGCCCTCCACTGAGCGAAACAGCTGCTCCTCCACTAGACACCACAACATTAATATAATCAGCATTAACATAGTGCTGCTAACCAAAGGTGAAAGAGAGGAAAAGTGAGGCTTGTGACCATAAGTTTATCTCTTCAAATCCTAAGAATGATTGCAAAATTGTAGAAGTGGAATTGAACTGTTTAAAACAGCTACTGCGGAAGTGTTGCTGTCCGGGGACCCAGCCTCCATGTAGCCATACCTGTAATTGTCTGGACAGCCAAACTGTGATTACACTGGGTAGTTATTAGGAGTGAATAGTATTTTAATGGTAAAGTACATGGGTGTTTATTTGACTTTCCTCACATTATTATGTGTAAAAATGATGAATTTCCTAATAATTCTCTCTCTAAATTGTCATTAGCATTGCATTCAATGGCTTTAGGAAAAGGACGTCTTACTTTTGTCTGGAGTCGTCACAGCACGGCCTGTTGGGGAACGGCGGTCATTTTGGGAATATAAGCAGCATCTCTGGCCTGGCCTGCTGCCAACACTCAGCTGCTGCTCCACCCTGGTGTTGCTCGGCTGTTGTAGTTTTGACACCTCTGACCTAAAAGGGAGCACTGTCTATTATATAATATAGACTGCATATTTTATGTATATACATGATCCCATCTGTGCTGCTGCAAATCTCTCTACATGTAAACTGACACTGACCAAGGGGATACAACAGCTCTTCAAATTTGCATAGATGAGAAAAGTTCAGTTCAATTTTCAACATCAAAAAGAAGATATCAAGTAACACAAGACCGTATGCATTAGGCCACATCTACAACCACCATGATAATTTTATAGAGGTCTATGATGTTGTATGCCAAATCTGGGTGGGGTAACTGAAGCCAGACATGTCTCTTTAAGGCATCTTACAGTAAAGTGGGTCAATGGTAGAATGGCATTATTAGTGTGCAGGAGTTAGCTTGCAAGATGTGAGGTAAACACAGGCTGGATGGAACACGACTGGAGCGAAGACATTTTTAAGTACATGAACAGTTTTCTAAGCTATGTCCCATATCTTTTTATCTGTGGATGAAAGGCTATGTTTTCCCATACAGTATGTCATGGACACATTTAAACATTTATGCTTAAAAACATAATGAGACTGGAGTTTGTGCAAATCAATCATCCTGTAATGGTTTGGATTTTCTAGGTTTCTCTTGCTGCCTGTTCTTTTGTGTAGGGGGAAATCCGATAGGGGGCTGTCGTAAATCACAGAGTAAGTGTTTCCAGATGTCTTCTCAAAAAAAAAAAAAAGAACAAAAATTGCAAAAAGGTTTTCAACAGCCGGACTCTGAAAAAAGAAAAAGAGTCATTGAGTGCTTGTGCTTACATCCTGTTGGCGCAAGGCAGCCTATGCTGTAAGACAACATTATGCTCTCCAGCTGTGTACTACTTTAGGTTTCTTTGTGCACAAGCGGGGAGAAATGACTGACTTCGCTGAAGTTCAGTAATTACAGCATGATTTCAGGCAATCAATCAGAGATGTTATGTTTAAGTTAATGGGGCCATGGCGGGGGGAAGACAGAGGGAGTTCATGTGGGCCAGCAGCTGCAGTTGGACCAACATAGAAGTGGTATATAGACTTGAACACATACAAAACGTGGTTAACTGGTTGCTGTGGAAATACTTGGATTGTGGAATGAATGGGTGAAGGTCCTTTTCAAATGCAAGCTTTGGTGTGACCAGCTACACTTTAATTGACATTGGTTGTGTCCAATTAATACTGTAGCAAGGCCACAGCTTCTGGCTCAGGCCTTTAACATGAATAGAAGGATAAAAAATGGCTTTATTTCTTGATAGACAAAAAAAAAAAAAAAGAAAAGATTTTATTAAGCATCCTCAGTTTTAGGACTAGTAACAGTAATGACCTCCAGATTGTCTTGTGAAAACTAGATCTAATTTGGTTTCAACAGTGGTTTGACAATGATGAGGTATGTATTATTGTTGGGTCGTGGAGCTGAGAATGGGAATAGCAACTGGAGTGAGCAGATGCCAGGATACACACATCCTGGATAGCTGTTGAACAGTGGGATGCAGCAGCCATAGACAAAACTTGATAGGTGTTTCATTAAACAGGCATCATATTTCTCACCTGTATGTGAAATGCAAAAAGAGCATGTGATGGGTTTGATCTGGCAAAGTAAAAATATCAATTCATTTACTCTTTTGCTTGGATAGAAGTAAAACACACTGCAGACATGACAGTGTGATATGACTGTAATGCTGCAGTCATCTTTGCATTTGAGTGAGAGATAAGTTATGCCAAGTATTGAACTAGAATATATGTAAAAGTGATCAAATGTGTAACTGAAAGAGTGCTGCTCATAGTGATGAACCCACTGAGAATTATCATTAGACTCTGTGGAAGGTTTTAGCATGTTTCAGCTAACTGGTTTTACAATTTTGGTCCAGTCTCACTGTCCTCATTAACCAGAGTTGCAATTTCAGGAAGCAGGTGTAGCATTTAGCAACAAGGTAAATGCTGCTCCCTAAGGAAAAGGTGGAGAAAGCCAAAAACAGATACACAGTCACCTGCACACATGAGCCATACAAACTGTATATAGTGAACAGCCTATTTGTGAGGACTGTGTATCTGTCAGCCTGTTATGTAGTTCTTCTGCACCTAGTTAAGTGGCAAAAAGTGCTGTTTTACAGAGACCAACATTAAGAACATTTTGCACTATTCACCATATGTCCTATTCATAAAAAGGTAAAATAAAGTTATTTTCCAAGGTGTATTAATGCCATAAATCAGCTCCATAGAGAATAAAGGCTGAATTTAAACTGAGCAGAAAACTTGAAACAGACCTCATAATTGTCAAGGAAGTACTAAACAAAAGCAGCAAACAGACAATTCATTAAATATTTTCCAAACCGTCTCTATGAAAGCCACCTCTTGGCTCTAGGCAAAATTAAATTAAGGCTTGGAATTACCCTAGACTTTCTGAGTACCACAAACATCTGAACTGAATACTTATTCAAGAAAAGTACAAAATAGGTGTTACTGTCTCTGTGGCCAATGGTAGAAAGTAACTCAGCACACTGAATAAAATGTACTTTTTGCACTTAAATGTACTTTTGAGGCATCTGTACTTTACTTGACTGTTTTCCTTTTCTGTGACTTCATACTTCAACTTTGCTGCATTTTAAAGGCAAACATTGTGCTTTCACTCCATTACATTTATTTGGTAACTTTAGCTCCTTTTCAGAATCAGGTTAATAAAACTAAATAAGTGTAATCATCACACTTTATTAAATCCTAATGGGAAATTCACAAGCTACCGATAAGTATTCAGATTATAAGTATATAAGATAGTTAACACCTTTACCAGCTGCAACATTAAAAGAGATGAAAGTGGCATTTATGGATGTAACTACACTTTGTAGTGCCTGACACAGGTGTTCCAAAGTAATCCTGAGCCCATGTGGTTATATCACTTATAGAAGAGTGACGATTCTTGATGCAGTGTCATCTGAGGGATCAGAGAGCTCAGTCATCCAGCTTAGACTTGTGTCCTTTACACAATGAAATCCCTGCAGAGTCCTTGAATCTTTTAATCATGTTCTGCACCATAGAAAGTGACATATCCAAATCCCTTCCTATCTTTCTTTTAGCTTTCATTTTCTAACACATATGTTGTCAAACTGGTGGTCCTCGGCCCATCTTTGCTCCTAAAGGGCTCGGCCTTTCCTGGATGCCATGTTTGTACCAAATCATGATGCACTCACCGGTTGGCATCACCTGTTTAAAATGGAATCATCATTTCATTGTTTTACCTCATTATTGGCCCTGAAATGCAGCTGTCCCAACTTTTTTTGGAATGTGCTGCAGCATCAGAATTGAAGTGAGTGTTTATTTTGAACAACGAATAAAATTGATGAGGTATCACGTCAAATAATGCGCCGCTGTGTTGTTTTCAATGTAATACAGGATACCGATGATTTACAAAGCACTACTTTCAGTTCTAATTTTGATTTTACTCACCATCCCAACTTTTTCTGATTTGGGGTTGTACTTGTAACAGAGTATGTTTACAAGGTGGTAATGCTACTTTTAGTTAAGTAAGAAATCTGGGTACTTCTTCCACCACTGTCTGTGACTGCATATTAGAACATTCTTCACAACAGAGGCAAAAGCCTTCTTATCATTACAGTAGATTGCTTTGCAAAGTAATTTGCTGAACATTTAAAACTCAAGGCAGAGAAAGTACACTAGTGGTATAGGTGAAAATATCTGCAAGCATTTTCTAGCCTATATACGGTGGGCCTAATTATTACAACATAATACAAACACAGTGGAGTAAAGGTGCCATGCCAGGGCATTTGTAATTAAGAAGATCTTCTTTCTGCAAAAGACTGAAGGCATTCTTTTGGTCTGTGGGGGTAATCCAGCTGTTTGTTGTTACAGCCAGGACACATAGAGTCCTCCCTGTAGTTATCACAGTGGGCCAATGAAGTGAACCTTCCATTAACACCATCCCCCATCAGTGCAACACTCCCCAAAGAGGAGTTTCCTCTCTCAGGTGTCACTGGTCAGTGACAGTCTCCTTTCTCTGCAGAAGTTATAACTGACGGGATACTGTAAAACCTGAGCTTGAACTTGAATTTCAGCACTTTTTGTGCCCTGCAGCATGACGGAGAAGGGTGAGGGGGTTGTGTTTACATGTGCCGACAGTTATTAATCATGTCCTCTTGGGTCTCACTTGTACAATGAGGTGGTTTCCGGGATACAATAAAGCAGCTTCAGGGATGTGATTATTGTTGAGGACTTAATCCAAAAACCAATGGCTGTAACATTTACAGAGGGTGGTTAAGATTTTCTTATCAAGCAAAGTACAAAGAAACCCTCAAAGTCAAACAAATGGGAGTATTAAAAGAAGAGTTTCCTCTTCTTTTGTAGTTTTTTTCTTTTTACAGGGGGAAGAGGTCCAACAAGGGTGGGTGGCTTAAGTTTATAAGATATTTTGTGTGTGATGTATTTCTGCTGATGTCAGCATACCTCCAGACCAAAGAAAGGGAGAGAGGGGGAGCGGCTCAGTGGGAACATGAGCCCAGTTGGCAGTGTTGAGTTTTTCAAGGCAGTTCAAGAATAACAGTAAGGCCACAGCAGCAGAATGCCACAGGTCCCACACATCCCTCCAGCGTGTCCTTTCCACACTATTTAAAGGCTAGGAATGCTGTAGCAGCACCTGCTCCACACAAAGCTGCAACTCTTGTAGGGAGGCAGATAAATGGTCTGCTAGACCCTCCTCTCCCCTCTGCTCTCAGGAATCATGCAGAGACCATGAAAAGGCTGAGAGATTATGCCTCCCTTGGGCCCTGCCTTCAGGAGGCCAAGGGTTAGAGCCATACAGAAAAGATGTCTACAGGCATACCATTAAATGAAAGGTGAGTTTTAAACTTGCACACTTAAGACACATGTGCTTAGTTTACTCTCTCAAAACCCCTCGACTATATGAATGGAGACACCTGGAATCAAGAGGATAATGAATTATTTTGTATCTCTATATCACAACAAAGTAAGCTCATAAAGAAGATGGAAAGTTGAATGAA